CCATACTGTTTTTTTCCATGCAGCGACTGAATATGTAGATATAATGAATGCACAATAATTATGATTGAAGAGCGCCGGCCGCACTTGGTATGTCTAGCCGAGGCTAAACTAGTGTACACACACTGTCGCTTCCAGTTGCCAAGATCGCCGGTATCAACGAACTCTAGCACAGTCGGAATCTGTCGAAACACTTCCCGGGAATATGAAGCGACTGTCGCGGCAAATGAGCTCATTACCGCGGCCGACGAGGCAATATGATGTTTCGAGAGAGTTACCAAGGCGGATCCAAGGGTAGAAAAACTCGGTGGTTCAAAATTCATCATGGCGGTCGCCATTTCTATTCCGCCAGTTCGGTAGTCTCGCGTGTCGACGTTCTCTCTTTGACATTTCGATAATTGCACGCGGACACCTTTCCGCATCAATGTGCAAAAGTTCACAGGTACGCGCAGACGATACTAGTCACCTATTTCGAGAAACTTTTGGCCATGTGCCATCCCGAATACTCGCCGCTATTATGCGACCCAGAGTTCACTTGTACTGTCTGCGAGTTCATACTTAATCTCTCGTCTTCCTCGTAAAAATCTCGTTTACACTACTCTCGCAGATGTCGATAGCAGAAACAAACTGTTGTTGTAGTTGCGCGTGATCTGATTGTGGCAACCAGAAATTGGTTGAAATATTGGCGTTTATCATGAATACACCCTACCTGGAGCAACCAAATATCGTTACTGTGCTCAACATTTGCTCTGTGGTTGCAGCAACCACATAATTGTTCCGTGTTTTACCAATGAATCTGGTTGTTACAATCAGATTTATGTATGGGTTAACGATACTGTTTTTTCCGCACAGAAATATTTAGTTGTAAGCAGTATAGCTGCATCACTCTAACTATCTCTGTACGATAATAATGCGTATGATTGACTCAGTTACTTTGGTACGTCAACTATATCAATGTAGTTGCGCGTGATCTAGTTGTGGTGATCAGAAATCGACTGGGATAGCATTTATCATGGATACATTCTGATTGAAGCAACCAGATATCGTCACTGTGACTCAGCAATTGCTCTGTGGTTGCAGCAGCTATATAATTAGTCGTCCCGTATTTTACCATTGAATCTGGTTAGTACAACCAGATTCATGTAGGCCAACCGTACTGTTTTTTTGCCAAGTCGTTCCATCCATATTCGCAAAATCGGGCTAGCATCCGGCTGACTAGTTTTTTTTTCTTTCAGCGATGCTACTAGCCTGCGACCACGGTGAAAGCAGTTCGAAGTAGCTCGAAATGTCGCAACAACACCCGTCGAGGCCACCCGGGAGCCACGTGCCGCCGGGTGGCTGGCCAGGACGAGCGAACGCGCCGAGCCCGTTCAGGCCCGCTTCGCCGTACACGCCTTCGTCATCGCCGCATCCGCAAGGACGAGCCCGTACCGGTCCCCCAACTCCGGTTCATCAGGCGCGACCTATGTCACCTCTCGCGTATCCCGCTGGAATGATGATGCACCCGATGAGTCCGGTGCCGATCGGGATGCCGATCTCGCCCGGGATGTCGCCGGTCTTCGGCTGTCCGACTTCCGCCTACATCCAGTGCCCAAGGCCACGGTGGCCTTCGCCGATTCCTACGGGCAGTCAAGCGCCAAGGCCGTATATACCAACGCAGGTACTTGATCATACTCGATTTGTGCGCGCGCGAACGATGACAGGTCGATACCGTGACGTCGATTCGTATCGACATTGTGCGTCGCGGTCGGTTAGATTGGAGCGTCTGACCGAGCACACACTGCACGAAAGTAAATAATAAAGATCGACCGGCGATATAGAGAGCAGTCACTCCCGTCGGGAGTTGTCGGTATTGAATTATTCCTCTTTGCAATTTGCAGAGTTCCTTCCGAAGCGACTCGGCATCGCCAGTGCCGTGTGCGCCGCCGGAATACCTCATTGCGCCCTACAGACCCGGGGATTACGAGTACATCGGCGTGCCCTTGGAGCACACGCAGTCGGACGAGGAGAGCAGCGGCCCCAGCACTGCCGAGATCATCGCCAGTCAGAGTCAGGATTATGTGGATGAGAAGCTCGCCGAGTACCAGGCCACGATCCAGCAATTGCAAGGCAAGTTTCATAGAGTTGGGGAGTGATCCCGTTGCGGGATCGGTTTGTTCGCACGGCGGAATTGCATCGGTCACGTTATAAAGACCGCAATGGACTGGCACTACGCCCTCGCCCCTATCCTCGTGTGTGTGTGTGTGTACGGAACCCTTAATTATAGTCCTATTTACCGGTTTGCATCACGAAGCGCCGTCGCGCACGCAAATTTCGCTCATGGGAGTGCAAGCGGCGAGATCGTATCGTATCTCCGCCGACTGTGCTGACTTTCACGTAAGAAAACCGCGAGACCCTCGCCTCTCTGCTTTCTAGAGACTACGGTCTCAGACGGTTTGGGAGGGTCAATCGAGCAGTAGAAAAGCCTTAAGCCTTAAGGCTTTCGTAAAGCCTTAAGCGCGTTCTCCGCGTTCTGTCGCGACGCGCGTCCCCGAATTCTCTTGGGACACGGGCTTACGGCACTCGGTCTGGAGGCGAGCTCTCGATCTGCGGTGCTGAATTTGTCGCAAAAGGACACAAGGTCGACCGCGTCGTCGTCGCTTGTCGATACGCCCACGACGGCGTGCATCCGCAGGGTCGTAATTCGTTCGCGCTTCTTGCGCAACGGGCGCTTACCTAGTCGCGGAACAGAGTCACGTCGTGCGTCTCTCGCACACTCGTCGAATCGAACAGCGCACAGGGAAAATAGGATAGAATCCGCGGAGACGTGAACAGGTTATAAATAGACATGACGAACACCTGCCGCGCTATTCGCAATCGTTACGTTCGCTTTTCCTGTCCGGTGACACTACGCTGTCGATCGCTGGACGTATCGTTTGACTGATAGACAGATAACGCGTACGTTCGAGGACCACTTTCAAGTCACACCAAGCGCATCAAGAGTTTTGCAAATTATGTCGCAGAATTTGCAAGCACGATTGGCTCTGTGACAAGCTTGTCATCGAATTTCTCTTCAGAGAATGATCGAGCGAGAAAAAGAAATCATTGATACGAAAAACTCAGATCGTTGCTCGATTTTTTGCGATCGAGTTCTAAAATTTCAGGCCGGTGATTAGTATTGTAGTTTAGCTGGAGACAGAGAGAAAGAGAGAAAGAGAGAGATTTATTAAACATTGAAATAAAATCCCTCGAAGTATACAATAATAAAAGTACAATATATATGTAAAAATATAGTAAAGAGAAAAACAGAATATTATAGCAGATACAACGCAATGATATAAAGTAACTGATGAAAAAACGAAAAGAAAAGAAAGCAGAAAGAGAGAGAAAGAACAAATTTTAATTAAGAAAAAAGATTAAAACGATAGTAAAAATTTAATTAGAATTACGATAATATCGTCTTAAAAAGAGAGGGAATGAGAGAGGGAAAGAGGAGGCAGAAAGAGAACATGTGGGTGTCCTCTACATACGCTTTATTGATGTTCTTCGTGAGCAAAAACGTCCCCCTCAATTAGAACGGAGGACAATTTTTTATAGACGACAGAACTATGTCAATTGGAATTCGGCTATTAATAGAGTCGCGGCGGATAGTCGCGCTCGTTAAAATTCGCGGCGAGTACTCCCGCGTGCTTCACGCGTGCTTAATAAATCTTGTCGGTACACACCGGCGGAGAGTGGGCCATGACTCAGGGAGATAAATGCGTGCGAGATTGACAGGCGCACCGGTCGATTAAATCCAATGCCAGGTAATTCGGTTCCCAAGTTGACGATCTCGCGCTGGATATCGTCGCGTGCCCCATTAAAGACGCGGGATGCCCTGTAATCGTGATGGCCGCTGATTACAGCGCGTCAGACCGGACATGGTCGATGAGTGGTTCGCGGACATTGACGGTCAGCCGGCGTTAAAAAGATCGCATAGGTTATCAGTTATTAAAAAAAACGTAATAAAGCAAGAGGAAAGGAAGATCAATCGATTGCCCGCTTAAAGCGGCGATGACTGCTGATGAATAGGCGACCTACGAAACGATAAATCAGATCCCGATCGCCCGAGCGTAACCAGTTAGCTCGATGCGCTGTAACTGCCTTGGATAAGCGCGATTAATCTCCATATTCAATTGCACCTACCATGAAACATTTTGCCTTTGCTTAACGTGCTCGTCGCGTTCGCAGCGGTCGTTCGAGCATTTGGATCAGCGTCTCCTGAGATTTACGGGTTGTTTGCCGCGCAGCCGAGAGAATATTCTTATCCCCTAAGATCTTTAATCCCTTTTATCGCGGTCGCTACTCGAACACTCTTGGATCACCTTAATTCCGCCTTCTGATGCGCAAGACGGTTCGGCGAGAGGACGATTTATCCAACTGCACGTCAACTCGAGCTCAGAAAGGATCAGCAGACAGAGCTATTGGGGAGATTTGAAGGAGTAACCCTTAATAACAGCTGTCGCTTCGTTCTTAGGGAGAGAGACGGTTGTAACGGCACGACGGCCCGGCCGGTTTGGTCCACCTGGAAGCATGCCGTTGAGAATAGAAATCCGAGACGAATCGACATCGCTGCTGTAGCACGTAAACCGCGCAACTGTGTAATGATCGATTAATCGCCAGTCGACGGAAGCAGCCCTCGTGAGAGAGGCGGCACCTGAAGCGACCGCATCGACGATGGATGAAGCCGGTCGATTCGCCGGCGACCTGTCTGCCGGCCGGCGTCGCAAGTACGGCACACCGAAGGGCCGTCAAAGAGAGAGGCAGGACGACAGGATTGATCGAACTCGCGAGGCGGAAGGGCCAAAGGACACGGCACGAAGGCGCCCCTGAAAAGGAACGCGGATCTGCCGGTTGGGTCTACGCCGTTGATACCGGTGCTGCGCGTCGCCTCGCGCATCGTCTCGGGTTGGTGGGAATGGTGGCAGTGCGAGGTGGAGAACGCGTCGGGGCCTCGGCAGGCCGGTAGTATCGAACCGGCGGCCGTCGTGCGCGGTCACCGTGTATACATTCCATATTCAAGCGTTCCATATGCGCGCGCTCTTTGTACATAGACATATGCATTATTCGCACACACGCATGTGCACAGTGCCGTCGCGGGCGTGCGCGCACACCTCCGACGCGAACTGTACGTAGGTGCGTACTCCGCCGGCGTGGGTGCTGACGGAGGGTGGCTCGGCCCAAGGTGCGCTCCGGAGGGTGCAGTTCGTCGATCCGCTTGACGCGACGGTCGAGCGAGTGACGTCGGCGCTCGTCGTCGTTCGTCGTCGCCGCCGTCGCCGTCGTCGTCGTCGTCATCGTGCGCTCCGACTGACAGTCACCGGGAGATCGGGCAGGTGACGTCGGCGCGAACACGGCATACGCGACTCCGGTGAATGGGGTGTGGTGTCGGCGGAGCAGGTGTCGAACCGCCAGAGTCCTTTAGGGCGTGAAACTGGGGCGGAAGGAGAGAGATACGACGGTTCTCACGCGCTGTCCCGTCGAGCGAGGCAGCGCCGGCTGTTGATTCTCCAAGTTCGATGACGATGAAGTAGGAGCAACGGGCCACTCCTCGAGAGCATGTCGCGAGCAACTCCACCCAGAGACAGTCCAACCCCGCCAAGGGTGGACAGCCCAGGCGGTGGTAGCCCGAGGACGCCACGTGGTGGCCGACTGCGCGACCGGGTGAGCTTCTTCGAGCAGGTCTGGTCTACCGGGCGTTGTCCAAGCGCCGAGGATCTCCTGCAGGACACCGAGGCGCGCAGGTCGTCCTTCCGCTCGCCGACGCACCGGCGATCCTCCTCCAGGGCGAGTGACTCTTCCTTCGAGGAGAGCTTCGAGAGATTGGTGGAGGAGGGCGAGTTGAACGGCGCCAAGGTGGTGAAGTTCGAGAAGATCACCGTGAGGAAAAGCATACGGGAGATCAGCTCGAGCGCGAGCAATGGTGACTCCGTGCTGGCGGTTCAGCAGCGCGCTACGGCCGCTCTGACAGAGTCCAGCAGGACCCCGAGCGAGGAGCACGCTCTTGAGGACTCGGCTTATCAGAGTCACAGCCATGGTGTGCACAGTCACGGTAGCAAGTCCAGCTCGGTCACATCGTTCACACGATTCCCCTCAGAGGAGAGCCTGTCGCAGCGTAGATCCAGCAGCCCCCGGCAGCAGCTGGGCCAGCCGGACGACAGGCCACCCTCGGAGTGGTACGCGGAATACCGCAGCCAGAGCTTCCAGAATGTCGCCGCGAGGATGGACTATGTGCGCAGCAGGAGCGAGTATGACGCACACATAGCCGAAATTAAAGGTACCAGCTTCATCGGTCGAAAGTGATGTCGAAAATCGACGAGTTTCCGAGGTCTCGTTATCCTTCCCTTCGTCGCTGTCTGCCTCGTCGTCGTTCTCATCGTTCTCGTCGTCGTCGTCTTGACGCTTCCGGCACTCATGCCGGCCGGCGTGAGAAGCGCGTTCAATAATCGGACGTTTTGTGTCTCCCTCAGATGGAAATTCTCGCGCGAACATCCATGCCGGACGGATATCCCGCGGAAACGTTAGCTGATATGTCTCCAATAGTTGCGACTATCGATTACCAGCTGCATTCTTCGATTAGGAAGGGCACTTCGGTATATACGGGAGTTTAACGCGCACTGAGAGAAAAAATTGTTGATTTAACTAAAATTATTATTATTTTTGGTCCCAACTATATTTAGAGTTGTTTTAACACGAAAGTGGTAGTAACAACATGCATATAAGATTATTATTACTAACTATAGTTTTTAATAATATTAACTATATACATTATTAACTATAATTAGTAATAATAAAACATAATTTATTGTCAAGAGTCATTTAGTTTTATTAAATTCTGCTATAGTGTTACTATATAATAGAATTTAATAAAAATAGTTTTTTTACATAATTTATAATAATAATAATTATAATAATTTATAATTATTATAATAATTACATAATTTTACATAATTTATAATAATTATTTTTCTATATGATTATAATTACAAACACACAAGCATTTTTTCTCAGTACGATCGATTGATTTCTCGCGATTGGAAATTCCGCACGATGGATGGCAAGAATTTCAATTGGCAACTGTACCTTGCTAAGGTTGTCTAGGATCGAGGTCATTCAAACGGATCGACCCTCGAGTACTCGTACCTGGCCAACGCGTTACATATTCATTAACGTGCAATCGCAATTGCGGCTTACGAACGAAAGCAGCTCTTCAGGGAAACTGAAGCACCGTAAACTCCAGTTGCAGAAGCGATCTTTAAGAAAAAAAAGAAATACCGTTCGCTCACGAGTAAATAATCTCTCTAACAGTATAATTACTGACAGAGCCGTGGTGTGTGGCCCTCCGCGTACGTTGCTATTCGTATTGATTCAGCGGCGAGCTGCGTATATAAAACGTAATACGCCTCGTAACTCGCGCTAGTAAACGATGACGATCGGCGGGCGCCGGTTCAAGGTTGCTCCGTGACTCGTATCTTGGTCCACGTCGCTTGCTCGCTTCTAGTCCCTAGAATTTATCTAGGAGAACGTCGAGGTAAGAAAGAGAGAGAGAGAGAGAGAGAGAGAGAGAGAGAGAGAGAGAGAGAAAGAGAGAGAAAGAGAGAGAGTAGGTGAAATTTACAACATCATGCAACCGTAACGTGGTAAGCGATCTCGATAAATGACAGATAAGATCCAGAATTATCCAAGTGGAAACATAACTGGCTGAGCTGAGTCAAAAGCTCTAACTAATATCTAATTAGTACAGGTTAAAGATAAAATTTTCTAGTTCATCACTAACTCATTACTATTTTTATTTTACTATTGATTATTTACTGAAATATAGAATGGATTTTGCGATCTAGCCGTTGTCTAAACCATTACCATATCAAATATGATACAGTAGATGGCGCTGTCTATTCTAAAATACATAATCTAGCTGATTATATCGCCATTAGCATTTCAAAATTAGATAGCATGTTAAAATTGAAGCTATGTTAATTTGATAAAAATCTCGAAAAAGCAGAATTGAGCGTTATTTTACTAGCAACTGCTTATGATTTTTCATCTCATAACTATAATTTCATTTGTTTCATCATCAGATAACTTATTTATCCAGCCAAGTGTTACATTATTAGTGATGTTAGACACAAATTTATTATCTCGTGATTAGGCACCTACACAGAGAAAAATAATTTTGCTCTTTTAACAAAGTCGTCGTTGTTACTGCATATTCGTAGTGACATCAAAAAAATTTAATTGACGTAACTAATTTTACAAATTATTCGTTATCAAAGCAGAAGTAGTTTCGTTGTCAGGATAGAAAAATTTTGTGGAGTGTATTTGTCCTAAGAATCACGTTAATTTGCTATTGATGCAAAATAATGTATCCTTAGCAAATTTATTTGCTATCAGAGCAAACTACAATTGCTTATATAAATCCATCATAGTTCTTACAGCAAAATAATTTGTAGATTCAGCAAATTATATCCAGCAAATAGTGATTAGTATTCTTAGCAAATTTTTTTGCTGTCCATATAATAACGAAAAGATTTTGCTAGAGCAGCAGAAAATTTGCTGGGCCACCAAATGATTTTTCTCCGTGTACGAGGCTCGATTTTTGCCGGGCGCATTTATGAGCGCTGAATGCGCACCGCGAACACGACGCGACGGAGTGCTCCGCTTTCACCCCGGGTCTTTCATCGCCACTCGCTTAAGCGTTCGTGTTCGCTCGAGAGCGACAAAACCAGCGGGGGACTCCTATCGTTACGAATTAAAATCTGCTTTGATAACGAATAATTTGTAAGATTAGTTACGTCAATTAAATTTTTTTGATGTCACTACGAATATGCAGTAGCAACGACGACTTTGTTAAAAGAGCAAAATTATTTTTCTCTGTGTAGGTGCCTAATCACGAGATAATAAATTTGTGTCTAACATCACTAATAATGTAACACTTGGCTGGATAAATAAGTTATCTGATGATGAAACAAATGAAATTATAGTTATGAGATGAAAAATCATAAGCAGAGCGACAAAACCAGCGAGGGGCTCCTATCGTCACGTTGAGTCTCGTCGTTGACGAATTAATCGAGCGCGCCAAATTTTGTGATGCGAGCTCATTAGCGCAAGCAAGGCGCGCCTCTCTCGAAGCATAATGGCGCGCGCGAAAGCTCGTCCGCCGTCGCGTTAATAACAGAAAACGATAGCCGGTAACTGCTGCTCCGCGGGGTAAGTCGCACTCTCGCATGCCGTAATTTCTGCAGTCCGTCTGACAAGCCACGTGCGCCGTAACATGCGATCTTACCTCATCATCTGTGAAACACCAATTACCGAGTAATTAAGAAACAATTTCGCGTGCAAATACGTTGCCCGCCGGACTAATGGAGAGTGATACGATCGTACTAATGGATTTCGATTTTAAATACCGCGGGAGTCGCCGCTCACGTACGAATACGGATCATCCTTCGGAGATTTGTGCTCTCGCGCGTATCATCTCGTTACATTTCGCAGCATTTATTTATCAGGGTGCTTATCGGCGCCTATATTTACGATATATCGAACACACATGTATCGATCGGCGAACGTACATTTGACACGCTAAGCTCCTAATTAAATACGCCGATAAGGCCGCACCTTTCCCTAAAAGAGTAATAGGTATGTATATATTCGTACGTTCTGATAAATCGCATGAGTTATCGTACGATGAATGTCAAGGCCGCGTTCCGTTATCTCGCATCTCAGAACTCGCTTTCTGATTGGTGCACGGGGCTGTTAAGACCGCTTTGCTGGTCAGGCACGAAGTAGGTCGGCGGTTGGCGACCGGGATCGGATTGTTGTCGGGGAAAAGGCTTCCCTACCCTAACAATGTAATATACCCTACGTGACGGTGGCTTCAGCGTGTTCAAAGTAACGCGAGTGATCTCATATGATCGTACGAGAAGGTTTCTGTCGTTCTGACGAGGAACTCTGTTTTCGGGTGGCTCAGCACATGAAACATTTACGCGGCAATGTTGCTACGTCGATATCGCAGCGATGAGCAAGGAAGAGGCGTCGTGCAACTTTTATGCACGGGCGGAGAAATGATGCTGAAACTTTAATAACTTCCATTTTTATTCCGTAGGAGCCGTACACAATTTTATTGGCTCGGTTAAGTTTTACGGCGATGTTTACGACAGGTCATTAATTTAGCGGGACGGTACTTCGCTGAGATGTTCGGTGTTTAGTCGAACGTAACGGCCGTGAACACGATGGAATAATTGTAGCGATGATTGGAGAAATGTATGAGTATCGTGTAAATCAGCACGGTGAAAGCGGAACGATTAATATGATCTGGCGACATGAAATTGGGGAAGAAGGAGAGAGATACGCGGAAGAAAGAATTTAGTTGGACCAAACAAATTTTTAGTGAAATATGAACAAATCAGAAATTCCCGTAATCGGAAAGTACCAGGACTCAAGTTAATAAGATTTCTGATTACGCAGTTGCAAGTTCTGATTAATCAGAAATCTCGTTTAGTTGAATAAAATCTTGTTAACTTGAACAGAATTTTGGCAATATTAATCAAAATTTTTTGGTTTGTTTATATTCCGCCCCAAAAATTGATTAATCCAATCAAACTTTTCTCTGGTCTAAAACGTACAAATTATTGCGTGTAATCGTCAAAAATAAATTCCCGCGCTCGCATCCATGGTATTTCGGGAAAAATATAAGAGGTTGATGTGCAAAAAGTTTTTATCATGTTTGTCAAAGGAAACAAAATTGTCCAATTTCTCGAAAAAATAATAATTTTTACGAATTAAACAAAACATCGACTCGGTATCTTTTTAGATATCTGACCTTATTGTTTCCCTTTTAATGTTCAACGACCTACGAGAATTCAACAGAAAAATGACAGATCTTGTGCGCCAAGCGCGGAAAATGTTGACACATTTATTTATAATGGCAGCCACGTAATATATTTTCATTCTCCGTCACCAAGATTAGCATATATAGTTTTCCTTAAATATATTCAGAACGGAGGTGCTTTATTAAATCAATATTATTTACATCATAGTCTTTCTACCTTTCTCCGCGAATGCCGGTACGCGTCGGTTCTTTCCATTTAAATTTAACGGACCGTCACGATTACGTAATGTATTGCCAAAATATTTCAATGAGGCACTCGATTATATGAGACGCAGCTTCATCGCCATAGAAGAAAACACACACACATACACCGAGTTGTAAGATTTCCTCGCGTTCGACCATCGCTCTTTCCAGCTCTTTCCAACTCTCTCTCTCTCTCTCTCTCTCTCTCT